TGCTCTTGGGCTTGCTGTGGTCTCCATGGATCAGAGAACATTATCCCTTTTTGAGACTGGCAAAGGGTGACAGCAACTGAAAATACCCCTTGTAAGATTTACAGTTGTAACCATTATGGCAAATGCTTGGTAATTCTGCAAGGCCACCCAAACAGTCTCAACAACCAAGTTGCAAGCTATAGTACTGCAAACAAATTAAACTGGAAGCTTTGCAAAGACTATGGAACTTTCTTATGCTGTAACCATTTTGGCTGCAGCATAAGGATACCGAAAGACAAAAAATAATATAAAATAAGATTTCAATCTATGACTTACTGGGTTTGGGTTTGCCGAGCTGATATCGTACATCCTAATGTGTTGATACCCTGAAAAACAACCATGCTTTGTTCATTTCAAGTTATCGGATTATAAATGTAGAGAGAGTATTCAGCTACTCAAGGAATAAGTTAAATTGAAACTGAGAAAAAATTACACCCAAATATAAAGGTCTATTTTAAATAACAACATGGTACATTACATGTATGTATGCAGTATGTACCTGTATATTGGCTATTTTAATAACCAATATACAGGTACATACAGCATAATATATTTWAAAAAWAATAATAATAATAATATATTAAAATATATTCATGGACTCTTACCTGCCGCAGCCAATGACTGGCGGTCTGGTGTAATTTCCATAGCATTCACCTGGTAAAAACCCATTAAGGCTCGATAACAATAAAATATTGTTTAAAAGAGATAAATTCCAAGTATCTTGGAAAAACAATATTGGGCTACCTGTGGTACCATCTTGCATGGTTATATAAACAATCTTAGATGAAAAGTCTTATAAAATCTATAATCAATATGATGTTTTTGTCGCTACTTTTGTATTCCTATCAGTTTATATACTCCCTTTGGCGACAATGTCGTGATATACGCTTAAAGATATTCAAAGGATATCGAATCTGGGTGTTGAGCAGTTCGACAACATATTCCACTGTGTGCTTGCCAGAAACGTATAGTATGATCGTACCCAGCCGTAGCCAAGATAACAGCCTCGCTATTCCCATTACCACCAGACATGATTATGGTAGAATATCTGGTATCATTCGCGGTTAATCATTGCTAAAAGCCAGTCTTTTGATCCGTCAGTCGACCTCCATCTTGACTCTCGGTCGTGATCTGGTATCTAACTAGGTAACCAGGTTTTTACTTAACAACACAGTTTCAAATTAATTTATTTTTGTCTTTTTTCCTCGCATTTTTGTTGCTTTTGTAATGAAAATGTGAGTAATTCTATTCAGAATTATACTTCATTTTTATATTAGGTTTTTAGGAATTTTCAAAATAATTTTTTTTGTACAAATCGAATATGTGCCCAGGTCGACCCAGGTCGGCCGAGGGTTGACACGGTGGTTGACTTAATTAATGGCATGAACGTAAACAAACGAATTCGAAACAGAATCGAGTAATAGAAATAGGTAAATTTGTCCTAAAAGTATAAAGAAAGCGATGGGAATCCGCGGATTGTCTTCGTATGCGAAATCAGTTGGAAGATTATGGACCAAAACACAGCTGAAAGGGACGAAACTCATCATAGATGGCAGCTCTCTGCTGTGGCATCTGTACCTAAGTGAAGGGGTTGATTATCAACATGGCGGAAACTACGACCAACTAGCCGAGGTTTTATCGAACTTCTTCGAGGCATTGGCATCTAATGGAGTCAAACCGTATGTTATAATAGACGGGCCCACCGTTGCTAGGGATAAAAAGCTGGAAAGGATAAAGAAGCGGTTTGAGAAGGACATCGAATCAAGCTATTGGATATCTACGGGTTATGGAGGGGGGGAGTATTCTCTACTACCGATAATGTCTAAAGCAGTGTTCATTCAAGAATTAGGGAAACTTGGAATACCTTTTGTGATCTGTGATTGGTAGGTCCTACATGTAAGATCAATATACCTCAAATCACGTGATGTGCATAATATATAGCCTGTCATTTGCTGTATATACTACTAGTTACATACATAACATATTTCCTGCTTTGTAAGATAGTAAGTGACGTCATATTGGGAATCAAAGTGCAAATTCTTAATGATGGTGAAAATAATCACTATTCAACTCACAGTACTGCATTTTGATTGGATGAGCAGGGCTATGCAAGTATAGCTAAAAGTTTCAAAAAAGTGTCATCCAATATGGCAGGAGATGATCACGTGACATTCTTTTTGATTATTGCTAAACCAAACTTTTTTCCCCACATACAGCGAGGCAGATCAGGAAGTAGCTTCACTAGCCAATCACTGGAACTGCCCTGTAATCAGCAATGACAGCGACTACTTCATCTTTGATCTCCCAGGGGGCTATATTCCTCTCTATTCATTGGACTGGAAGGGAGAGTCTATAACTGGACAACTTTATAAGCGCCAACGCTTGGCAAATCATTTGGAGATCAGATCAGAATTTCTTCCACTTATTGCTTCATTAGTGGGAAATGACTTCATCCAAGAGTGCACACTTGCTCCTTTTGAGAGAGCACTTTTTCAAGGTAATGGAGGGAACCACCGATGTAGTACGAAAATATTAACCATAGCTGAATTATTCTTTACTTTAAATAATGTTGAAGCAGCCTTGGAATATGCACTAGCAATGATACCAGGCGAAAACCAAAGAACAACACTAAGATCTGCTTTAGAAGAATCAATCAAAGAGTACGAAACATGTGACTGGACGTTGAACGAATATTTTGAATTGGGAGAAATACACACATCATTAAAGACACTGAATCAGGAAGATATTCCTTCCTTGGTCATGGAAAGATATCGAAAGGGCATGTTTCCGGTCAAATGTATGGGCGTCCTTACTTCTGGGAGACATTTCCTTCATGTTCAAGTAGAGAAATCCACCGAGTGCTCAGCACACGATTGTTCATGTGAGTTAAGGCGTATTATCTATGCCATCATCATGAAACCAACGGAAGGCCAAGAATCCAAGAAAAAAAGTGAAGTCAAAGAATGGTCAAGGAATAGAAGAAGTGTGAAGAAATCTCTCGTACAACCCCTTTGGGAACCCATCCATGGATATGGGGAACTCCCAAAGTTAGATGACTTGCAAGAAACAGAGACTAGCAAAAGGCAGCAAGTGTTGTTAGTAGTCCTGAAGGCAGACACAGCACTTATTAAKTCGTTACCAGAGAGTTTCMAGTTGTTTGCAGCGACAGTGCGCTACTGGATCTCCAAAGCCAAACCTGGTGTTAACCAAATATGGGTTCAAGCATTGTTACTAGTACATTTAAAACTGCTTGCTGAGAGAGAAGATAGAAAACCATCATCAAAGTCTAGTGATCGTAAGAAGCTCTTGAGATCTGATATTGATATTGATTGCCAGCACAGCTTTGCACAGTGGCAGACTGTGATGATGCAGTCAATATCATTGAATCGAATCCTCCTGGACCCTTTTGTTGAACCCAGGATATCTAACTTGTATAATGGAGTTACAGCTCAAAAAATGGTCCAGAAGATAAAGCAAGGTTAGTATGCCTTGACTGGAGATTGTGGCTGGGGAAGATCTTAACTCCAACCTCACTTGTACAACCCTTCAGAGCTAGAGATATCTACATAAATTATAGTTGTATTTAGTCACCTCTTCCAGCCCCTATCTCAATTATTACGGACCCCATCTCTGCCCAATCCCACCAATTAATTGCATTAGTATTATAATATCATTATTCATATCGATTCATTGATCTGGATTGGTCTGATGTTACCAACTCATCACCCCTCCAGTATACCCCTGGGTTTCTGAGCAGAGGCCCTCACATGCAATAGTGAAAGAATGCAAGTTTTAAAAGTAGGTCTCATTCAAATTTACTTTTTATAGGTAAAAAAGCAGAATCATTTTTAAAGACACCAGATATCTTTAAGCAGCTTCATACAGCTGTTACAGATGGACTGGAGATGTATATGGCCAAAGAGGAGAGGAACAAAGAGCTAAGTGTTGAACCAAGCAAGCAGTCTGCCAAAAAACAAGACAAGAAAACACCTAAAGTCTTGCACGGGAATCCATTTGCTCTGCTTTGTGATGATGAATCTGAAGATGAATCCTAAAAAAAAAACACTGAACTCCAACCAACACACACTTTTTAAAGTAATAGCAAAACTGGTAACTAAATTCCTCTCGCTTAACTTCGGCCTCACAATTCCTTGCAGGGCAAATTCGTCTTAAGACTATTCTTGATCTTCAGCGGTCAAATAAACTATAAAAGGTAACATCTAAATTACTATGAAAAAAAATACATTTTATTCACTTTGTATTCTTATTAAAGATTAAACTAATAAGGACTTTGTAACTTTATGTTAACATTATTTTTTCTTTTTACTGTAAAAAAATAATATGTAATAATTGCCTTAGTAGTACTTCATGTAAGACTACATGATATGGCACTATTCCACAATAAAGTTTAGGGTTAGATTTTTTGGGGGTTAGTGTTAGTGTTAGGGTTTGGATTAGGGTTTCAGGACGTTATAATCAATAATTAATAATCCAATTGTGCTATTTTAGGTAGTCTTACATGAAGTACTAACTGCAAGAATGATTCACAGAAATGAGTAGGGTCTGGGTTTGAGAATGACCATAACCTTTATCTTTCGGTTCCAGTCTTTCCTCTACAACTTACTAGAAGAGTGGGGCTAGTCAGTGCGTTTTGTAAACATTTAAGTAAAAAATAGCCCATTAGTTATTGAATTTACATTTACAAAGAACTAATGTTCTTGTCAAATAACTGATGAGCTATTATGCATACTTGCATTGAAGTGTCATTCCTTTACAGACTTTAAACTGCGCCTTTAAGCCTTATTAATATGCATTAGGAAACGTTTCTGCTTGTATTTGAAAAATTATTTGCATAGTTAAACAAGAGTTCTGTTTCAAAGCCTGAGTTGCTTTTGGTCAGCACCAGTAAATGAAGGATTTTGGTAGAATTTAATTTTGGAAGCCAAACAAAACTAAGATAACTCGTTTCTATTTTTCGCGTATCCACGGGTTAAAAACTGTTTGACCTTCGAAACTGAGTTACTCGTTTTTGGAAACCAAAAGTATCGCAGGAAATTAGAAATGCACACTCATTTACTTTTAACAAGGAAAGCGTGTACATCAATGAAAATAAATGTTGATAAATGAGGTATTTATAGATCCACACTAAATAAACATTCTTAAGTAAAGCTTTGGCATTGAATTTTTATAAATTATCATGCTATTTTAATATTAAAATATTCTTAATGCATCACCCCCTCCCAACCCCACCCCTCCACAAATATTAAATATTGAGGCAAGCCGATTGGCTGACACTGCAGCAAATACAAATTATACGGTAATTTAAGGGTCAAAATATTTCGTTTTTAGTCTATGTTAACTATGATGTAGTCTAGAATTTATTGATAACCCTTTAAAATGCCCGATGATGCAATCTTCATGGCATTTTACCTACTATGGTATCTCGATCCTTTGCAGTCTTAATGTTAAGTGATATTTCCAAGTCACGTGACGCATTGCTAAGTTGCCTGGTTTACTCCTAAGTCACATGACTCAATGCTAACTGTCCAATGGGGTACTCCCAAGTCATTGACTAGTCTCTTTGGAAGTTCTTATTTTAAGTCATGAAAGAAAAGATTTTTCTCAATTTTATATTACAGCTAGCTTATTTGGTAGAAGTCTATCCTGTCGATACTATTTACCCCGCAACATGTGACTTCACACGGACGTCGATTTATCAGGCTGGTCGTCGAACATTGTTTCAATTTCTGTGGAGAAGTCTGACAACATGCTGTTGATATCTTTCATTAAATCCTCTGTGTACCTGAGAGGTAAAACAAACAAAATTGGTTCAACTGGACTACGAGAATGAGTTGCCCAGCTTATTCAAGGATACAAAAACTTGCGCGTTTTCTGCGATCAAGGTCTCTTGGAGTCTTTGGGCAAAGGCGCCCAGAGGAATACTTTTTTGCGCAAAGTCACAATAATTACAGAAACAAGAATTTGTTGCCAAACTAGGCGTCTCATAGATGTATACAAAAATCTTTGGTCAAAGGCAAGCAGAGGAATACTTTTTTTGCGCAAAGCCGCAATAATTACAGAAACAAGAAATTGTTGCCCAGCTAGATGTCTCATACATGGATGGAAAATCTGCATGTTTCCGTGCGTATGGTCTTTGGTCAAGGACGTGCAAAGGAATAATTGTTTGCACAAAATCGCAATGATTACAATAACGGGAGTTCCATTTTATTCTTAATCGTAAAAAAACAGTGCGCTGAAATTAATGGGAGGGCTTGTCATACAAAAATCTTGAAGCCACAATTCTTACTGTTGATCTTTCAATAACTCTTCATCTGTATCTACGTCATCTTTACTAGTTGCGGTAGTGGAGGTGTTGGTAGTCATAGTGATGTCTTGATGGTGGGGTTTGAGTTGATCTGTTTGAAGATCAGATAAAAAGTAGAAGAATCTGTCAAAGTTGCTCTTCATATTTTCTCCTCTCCCTTTTCCCCTTCCCTTTTTCCTTCCATCCTTCCTTTTTCTCTTCCATTGCGCACCCTTTTTCCATTTCTCCAGCTCCTTTTTCCTATTCCTTTCTTCCATTTTCTTTTCAATTTTTCACTTCGAAAAACTCCTCAGAGTCTTTATTTCTACTTTTTCTCTTTCTACTTGATTCAGTTCTCATCACTAGCATAACAAGAAAAATACCAACCTTGATCAACAAGAACACTCTCCGGTGAGGGTCTTCTGAAGACATCTTTGATTCGTTCCTGAAGACCTATGAACAAAGCATCAAGTGAATAGACATGACGGTGGATCTTTGTTCCTGATTCTTATCCCCGAAAGCATTTAGTAATGGGTAAGGAATTACTCAAAAAAAAATTAATGAATTTGAAGTGTGTAACTAAAAGGAGAAAGAAATAGCGGGGAAAAAACAAGACATTCTTTGTAGACAAAGCAAAAGGTTGGAGTTGGAAACGAGCACTTCATATGAAGATGGCCACTCCATAACAAAAACGAGTCTAAGTGGATGTATTACAATAAGACTGAATGAGGTATCAGTCACTCTGGATGGACACACAGCAACAGGTATTCTACACGGACAAAGAACAACTTACACGTGGTAACGACCATATCATTCGCAGATGGGCATACTCATAGCAACAGATACTCTACATGGTCAAAGAACAACTTAGTCATGGTAACGACTCATTCGCAGATGGGCACTCCATAGCAACAAGCATTCTAGATGTACATTCATAGCAACAAATATTCTACATGGTCAAAGAACAACGTAGTCATGGTAACGACCATATCATTCGCAACATCATGTGTAACAGGTATTTTACAAAGACAACTCTCCGAGGACAGACAATATTGGTGCTAGAGCAGGATTATGCGTCCATTATATTGGTATCAAAAACTAACTTCTTAACAACTGAGTCACTTGGTTGCTTTTACCTGGTTGACTCTCGCATCTCGTCCTAAATTCATTACTATCATCTTCAAAACCAAAGGTATCCGAACAGGGATCGGTGAATCTTCGTTTCAGCTTCTCGAATGACTTCCGACGACCATCGTAGAGCTTTCGTTTTTCCAAGTCTTCGAGGACTGCCTCAATTGAATCGTCACTACTTGCACTCTGTGAGCGTACACTCCCGTGACGTGTTTTAGGGAGGGTGGGTGGGGGCGTCTTTCTGGGACTTGAGCCCGGACTATTATGGACGCGTCCTAGACACAAGGTAAGTTAGATAGCTTGCCTCGTTTGGGCAGGTTACACATTAAGCAACCTTGTTAAACAGCCATGTCGTAAGGTCCTAATGGTTGGTAGTACCTTGTGTGGTAAGAGCGTGGTCTGTAATCCGACCCTCATGTTATGGTCTTAAATACTCTTAAAACGGAGCACTGATGAAAATGGGGTAAGGTGAAAACACTGAGTGTGACTTCTAAGCAGGCCTCGAACAAATACTGACGTCACATATAGTTAATTTACGTCACTGAGTATAAAGAAAGTCAAAGTGAGTGATGAAGGTTAGTGTATTATATCAGAGGTACTAACGTGGTTATGTACCAACAAGATTATGCACCACGGAGATTATGTACCAGTGACAATCATGCACTAATCATTATATGCACCAAAAATATTTGTTCCAAGAGATGAGATGTATTTATGTACCAGATCGATTATGTACCAGATAGGTTAAGTACCAAAGATATTATGGACCACATAGATTATGTACCAAAGACATCATGGACCAGATAGATTATGTACCAAACATATTATGGACCAGATAGATTATGTACCAAAGATATTATGGACCAAAGATATCATGTATAAAAGAGATATGTAGCAACAAAGTTATATAGCAAGGACTTCACGAACATATATAATTATGTACCAAAGAGGACACTGTACCAGATAGATTATGTACCAAACATATTGTGGACCAGATAGATTATGTACCAAACATATTATGGACCAGATAGATTATGTACCAAACATATTATGGACCAGATAGATTATGTAGCAAAGATATTATGGACCAAAGATATCATATATGAAAAACAATTTGTACCAACGAAGTTATATACGAAGGACTTCACGAACAGATAATAATAGATAGTGTACCAAAAATGTATATTCGAAATTATGTGGTCAGTGAGATTCAGTTTCTGGGAGACCTTTGTGGCCAATATGCACTTTCAAACATGCCAGGTTCAACGTCAAATATAGCAGCAAATTACAAAAAACGAGAAATGTAGTTACATCAAATACACATGCAAACATTATTCAATAATCTGAAGAGTAAGCATAGTCTAGAATGTTCCTCATGCAATTGACCGTTTTCTCAAGGTTGCGTGCGCATCCAAATTTAAGGAACTTGACGGGCCACGATACCAGAACGCGAGTATTGTCATGCATTGCTATGATTTCGTTTTCGATAAGAATTCATAAAATCGATTATTCTCCTCTTTAAATATAAAACTGTCTTTTCAATTTTACTGAATTTGCGTTTTTCAGTTTTGTAGCCCGTCAATTTGGATGCGCACGCAAACTTGAGAAAACGGTCTATTACAGACCAGAAATGATACATAAATTGCGGGGGGGAGGGGGAGGGGGAGGGGACACACAGTGACGTACTTTTACGCACAGGGGGAGGGCGTGGATTACTAACGGGGTCAATTAATGGTGGGCTAAGGAGATGGGATAGCGTAACAACCCAAAGTACTTATATCTATCAACCCGACTTACGTTCAGTATTTTTGGTGTCTGTTATACCAGGCTGCGCACTGTCTTTAACCAATGATGATTCTTTGTTTATCACGTGTTGATCCGCCCTTGTCTTGGCTGGGGACCCAGTAGGTTTGGGTGCGATGGGTGGCGGTTTCTTGGGGGTTTTGGGTTTCACAGCTGGCGGAGGTCGTTTCTTTGCTGTCTTGGAGTCAAACGATGTTCCACGTGTGCGTTGATCCAAACTCGATGATTCACTCACAGTAACAATGGGTATACTCTCCATCGAATTATGGCGAGGTCGTGACTTCGAGACGTCAGGTTTCTCGCTGTTTTTTTGCTGGAGACCAACCACGGTTCTCCCAAAGTCTGACTCAACAGTCTTTGAAGGCGATTCCTTGTTATTTCCAGCGTCATTCTTCTCAGCGCTGACTTCAGGTTGATCTTCAAAGGGGCTTCGCGACCGCATCCCTAAATCCGCAGAAATTCTGTCCTTAGATGAACTCCCTGAGCGACGAGAAAATGAGATCTGAAAAGGACCGCTTGATCGTTTTTCCGTAAGTTGACTCGGCGGCGTTTGGCTCTTTCTCTCAGGGGAAGAAGTGGAATCCTTATCGAGTGAGTCAAGTATTAAGTCGAGATGTGGGGTGCTTCCTCGTGTTTCGTTGAGCGAGTCGATCTGTAGCGACGCCATTTCTCTGTCTAAAGTTTTTGTCGAGTTTCCTTCACTTGTTTCATCGGAGCGTTCACGTTCTGTACTCATGTCTTCAAAAGCAACAGCAACATCACTTGCTCCGTCTGCCGGCAGCCTTGACAATGCACTATCAATATCCGTGCTCAGTACTTCCATTCCTTCCCTCTTTTTCATAATCTTTTCCTCAACCATATCAAGATCTGTTTCTAAGTACCCCTCAACTTTGTCAGCGTAAGAAACCCTTTTTTGGGCTCCCTCACAGTCCTCCTCTTTACCAATAAGTCCCAACGCCTTTACAGCCATCCATATTTTTCTTTGATGACCAGGTTTCGTGATTCCTATTAATACTAAGTCTTCAATGGTGATGTCTTGTACAAAATCCATGTCATCAAAACCGTTGTCTATGAACTGTGRTGTGTATTGATCAAGGTGAATCAGACGAAGCCACGTCATAATGTCTCCCTAAAGACGTCAAACGATAAAAAACTAAATATCGATGTGATGGCACCTGTTAATCGTACTAACTGTATTCTGAAACATCCCGACAACCAATTAGCCATTCCAAAGTTAAAAAAAGACTGGGTCGAGTTGGCATTGCAGTGCATTGTGGGACTGTTTTAGGAGTCGAAATAGACGCCATCTTGGAATATGACCCTTAAAACAGTCCCACAATGCACTGCAACACCAACTCGATTCGAAACTCTTTTCGACCTCGGAATGGCTAGTACTCAGTAAGTTGGAGCAACAAACCTTACATTCATCTTTTCCCCCTTTCCAGACCGAGTGTTCTTCCCTTGAGTGTGTTTTTTTTACCAAGATAACGTTGGAGATGTGACTATAGATTTTTTCTCGAGGTGGGAGGGGTGACACGAGGTATGACATGGGCGAATGTTACCTCAAACTGAGTCAAATAAGTAATGTTTTCCCATTTCACACCACGTGTCATTCCCAAGGTTATAATTTCTTTGTTTAATGGTCGTACATGAGAAAACACATGAATTGGATACATCTCAAACGAAGAATCGTATTCTCAAGGGAATGACACGTGGTTCGCAATTGGAAAACATCAGCCTAACACCCAAGCTGCAAAGGTCTTTTAGAATACATTTTGTATGACTGTAAAAATCATGACACGGCACTGTACAGAATGACATGTCATGATCAAGTCTGTGTCATAGAAAATCCATTCCAATAACACAGGGATCCCACACTTACAGGCCGTTCGTGGGGCAAATAATCGCTATTCAGCTTGCTGGATTCCGACAACAGTTTCTTCCTGTGTCCAGTTTTAGTGATGTTGATCGCTGTGAGGTCCTGGAAAAAAACAATATACCTTTTATATCTCCTCTGGGCTTCCTGTGTTCCACAGGTAGCTGTAAAGGTCTTTTCCTGTCTTCCACAGGTAGCCCCTTAGGAGTAAGCGACTACGAAACGTGCGTGTAATAAAGCTGTTTTCTGCATGCCGTAACATTGTAATGGCTTTCCATTGTCATTCAAAATTCATCCAGTGACAACACTAAGTTACGGTTATGGTGAAGCTACAGTAAGGCCACGAATCTGCCCTATCGTTTCCCACTCATACAAAAACCGTTCACCCGAGTCTCACTCGTTGGCAGGGGAAAACGGTTCTAGTCTAAATTTTGATAGAAATGTTTTGTTCTCACCTCTGCTGTTAAACCCGCCATACACGTCATATCAAAACCACCTTGCACGAAGTTATCGATGTAAATAACTAGTTTACATGATTCGAGCCAGTCGTAGAGAGAGTTGTAATCGTTCATCTGAGGAATAAATTATAATAAATTAGCATATAGTATGCATAATTAACTTGGCTGGCTATCATGCTATTACGTTGAAGTAGTCATAAAAGAAGGTGAGGATAAAGTCAAATACTTCAACGCATAAACACAGATGGAATCCGTTTATCCGTTGTTACCGTGTATAGGTTGCTATCAATAGACGCCACTTCCGATAATAGTTCTTTTATGATGGCTTGTAGAATCCTGAAGGTTGTTTTGATCTCTTGTTTTCTGGTTTGATGTCGTGAAAATAGTCAAATACAATAGTTTGAAGACTTATTTTGATATGTTTTGACTTAGCATCCGCTAGTTGCCCCCCAGTCAACCGCTTGTTTGCCCCCCAGTCAACTCCAAAAAAGTCACGTGATTGATTATAAGCAATTCGCACAAATTCTTGGGAATGAAGGATGGCATGAATGAAGGAACTGCACTCGCCTATCACCTCGGGGGTCTCAGGTTTGATCCCAGATTCGGCATACATCGATACATCGATACTCTGCTTTTCCTCTCTCCGCAAAAACTAACACGCTCAATTTTAAGTCATTCTGTGAGTTAGCCGTGAAACCAAGGCATAAGCGTCGAACCAAGCGAATAGCTTGACCTCAGAGGGTCAAAAAATTTTGAATAAATGTTTTGACTTCTCTCGTAAAACAAATTAATCCCTTAACCCCTAAAAGTTTTTTCATTTCAACCACATATTATTCCCTTGAGTATTATTTTCTTCTCTAGTGTCAGCACTACGAACAATGCTAATATGGATAGTAGAACTCGAGCAAGAATATCCATCGAAAATGTAGGGAACATTATGTTCACCTCAAAGGATTTATTTTTAGACGTGATTAAATAGGAGGTATCGAATAGTTATATAGAATAAAGGGCCGTTTGATTGTTTTTTTTCTTCTTGATTTATTCAAACGTTTGGGTCGGGATACCTTCGTCAACCTTCGTCAGTAAAATGTGTGCTACGTAAATTTCATGACTATTATAGGATTCCGACCAAACGTTTAAATAAAATCAAGAAGAAAGACAAATAGTAATTTAATAATAATAATCTATTGAATTTGTATAGCGCAAATCTTAATTGGGGTATTTTCATTTGCGCTGAAATAGCGACAACCCTTCGTTCAATAAACCATTTCGGTCTGACAGTTTTAAGTAAAGTACGAAAAAAACGGTTCCGAGTAGGGAGAGCATTGTTATAAATCCAAATTTTGGACCAAAGACGACGAGATATTCAATATTAACGTTCAATATTAACCTTAATTCTTATAGTGTATGAATAGAAATGTCTTACCGTTAGTCCACTGTGTGCCTCTGGTAAAGCGGGAGCACCCAACTCTGTTGAAGCTAAAACAGAAGACAAGATTTTTTAGTCAAATGAATGGAATAATGGTGAGTAGGCGAATTGGTCTGTTCGTGAGCCAAAGAGAAGATTCGCCTTGCGGGTGATACTAGTGCAGTTTTCGTATGACTGTGAAAAATTCACGGCACGAACACGGCCATGACATGGCAAGGGATACGCCAGACCAATCACACTGCACGAGAATTTACTCTCCATCCAATCAAATACCCGGAACACGGTATGAACACGGCGCGGACACGGTCACGCCAAGGTCAAGGCAATGCCAGACCAATCACATTGCGCGTGAAAAAAATCAGCCAATTAAAATTCTAGAAAGCAACACGGTCACGGCACGTCACGCTTACGGTACTGAGCTTTTCACAGTAATCTACCCAATATCACACTGAGAATGGCATGTTATACCATGTTGAACGATGCAGGACAACACGAAAATATCCTGGAGGACTGAAGTAACAAACAAATCGCAATCACGCTGACAAAAAAAATTAAAGGAAAATTTATCTGGTATAATTGTAGTGAATGTCTCCTGGCATGGCATGAAAATCATGACAAAGATAGTCAGTTGGGAAAACCTATATTAAAAATGACTGTAAGTCGTCACCAAGGGTAGGTGGGTGGGGGAGTGACAATAGACTCAAAACCCGCCCCATCCATCCCCCCATGGAAGGTTTTCTGCCTGGTAGCAAGGTACAAGAACAGAAAGTTGAAAGTAAATAAAATCTTTATTGATGTAACTTATATACATTAAATTGCGAAGTATGGATTTTCTAGATATATCCATTGAACTGGTAGCTTATTTATATTCTAACTACATACTTTTATGTTTGACTTTATAAATGAGTTTTGCTTTAACGCTTTCATTTATATTACAGTTTCAAGTGAAGTTTCAAAAATTTCAACTTAAAATAAGTATTCAAAGGAAGTGTTGCTGGTTTGCAGTCATACCTCCATGACATGGCCGCCATGTTGGATGATTTAACAAAACGCCAATGACTGACAAATACTTTTATATTCAACCCGCAACATGGCGTCTTTGAAAACCAGCAAAATATAAACGCCTTTTCAATTTCCCGCCAAAAATATTTCTTCATCAGAACGCTTCCAAACTAATGTCTTCGAAAAAACGAAACGTTAAATAGCCAGTTCAAACTTCCTCCGAATACAGTCCACAATACCGCTGACCAGGTCCTATTACGGGCGAACTCCTACTGAGTGACGCTTCTTCATTCAAATCCCCTCTCATTCTTCCTTGTGAATTTTTTATTCTTGAGTTGACTCTACCAAATTTCAGTTCTTTTTTCCAAACCTGGATTTCCTGTTGTTTCTCGCTTGGTGATAGTTTTCTCAACGAAGAACACTCCGCTTCAAGCTCAGTTACCCGCAGTTTCAAATCACTGATATCGTTCTCGGTGAACCGTACTCTTTTATCCATCGTATCAATCTCGGCTGACACTTGGTTTGATAGCTTATCTTGCATTTCGGTTACATTCAAAGCCGTACAAATGATTTCTAAGTCTTTGACTCTCTGTCTTAAGTCACCAAACTGGTTCTGTGTTGCAGTATAGCTTCTCAGAAGAGTATCCATTGAAAGTACAGTAGCTCTGTTTCCTTCTAGGTTCTCATAGCACTTCTTGAGTTCCTCATGAGCGTCTTTGATTTTTTGGTTCAATCGTGTTTCCATCACTTGCACAGCCTTGGTCATGGAACTTAAATTTATCATAACTTCGTTCATACAAGTTTTAAATGAATCTCGTAATTTTTTTTGCTCGGAGCGATACATCTCCAGCTCTTTTATTATCGTCTCTAAATGAACTAGCATTTCAAATGAACGGATTCGGTTTTGTTTGTCTTCATCTTCCTCTGTTTCTTGCGAACAAGCCATTTCATTTTCATTTTCACATTTTCTAACTGTCTCACAAGATTTGTCTTTTGGTTCAGCACCTTCAATCCAATTTCCCTGAGAATTAACACTGATCCCTGAGTCTCTTGCTATCTTCTTATAGTCTTTCAATTCTTCTTCTTGCTGTTTGTCTGTTGAAAACTGATTCACTGTCTCATTTCTCCTTTCCAAGGGTTCACACTCTCGTTCTTGTCTTGTAACTTCCCGGGTTTTCTCCTCAAACCCTTTCTTCATTGTTACTTTTTCTTCTTCTTCTTCTTGTTTTCTATCCTTCTCTTTTTGTGTTTGTTTTATAACGCCATCGACTTCTTCCTTTGCATTCTTTTCTGCTTCTTGCGTTACACACCCTTCTATTTCAGATTGCATTACTTCTCGTATTAGTTGCCGTATTGCATTGACATCTCCGGTTGCACCTTCGAAATCATCTGTTACGTTTTCTTCTAGTAGCTTTACTCGTTTCTCTTCTTGCGTTATCTCTTTCTCTATTTTGAGTTCTTTTAAGTCATCTTTGTATTCTTGCGTTACCTCTTGCTTGACGTGTTGCGCGAGGTCTTCGCGTTGCGTTACTTGTCCCTTGGTTTTCTCCTTTTGTTTTTCTTCCAGCATTTCTTCTTCTATATGTTTTTCGTCTCGCAGTACTTGTTCCGCTATTCTCTTCTCCATTTCAAGTGCAACATCTTTGGAAGGAGCTGTTTCACGCGTTACGCCTTGCATGACACTTTGCTCGACTTGTGTTACAACTTGGTTTGACGTTTCGACACGTGAGGCGTCTTGCCTTGCTTCCTTTTTTGCTTGTTGCGTTACTCTTTCTTCTGTTTCTTGCGTTATGTCCCTGTCTTTATTCAATTCATTCTCTTTTAACACTTTTTGCACTGGTTCTTCCCCATTTTCCTGGCCAACATCCTTAACTTCTTGCGTTACTCTCCTCTCTAACCCTTGAGTCACACAATCTTCCAGTTCCAGTTTCTTTTCTGTATCTTGCGTTACCCTTGTCACATCTTTGTCTAAATCTTGCGTTACACTTTTCTCTTCTTGTGTTGCATCCCCCTCTTTCGTTTCTTTAGTCTGACCTTCTGAATGGATTTGGTCTTCAAGTCCTACACCTTGCGTTACTTTTACAGCAGTATCTCGCTTCACATCTGSCTCTCCTTGCGTTACACTTTCCTCTTCTTGTGTTGCATCTCCCTCTTCCGTTTCTTTGGTCTGACCTTCTGAATGGATTTGGTCTTCCTTTCCTATGCCTTGCGTTGCTTTTACAACAGCATCTTGTTTCAAATCTGACTCTCCTTGCGTTACACCCCCGTCCACTTCCTGTCCTATTGCCAGGCACTCTGAAGGAATTTGCTTTTCCTGTCCTATGCCTTGCGTTACTCTTGTGCCCTCGTCTTGCGTGACTTCATCATAGCATCTTGAATCCGTTGCTATTTTTACCAACGGTTCTTCACCCAAAGTATTTTCAGTATCAGTTTGTTTTTCTTCTTTGYCAATTAAAAGCTCGTTAAGATGTTCCGATAAAACGGCAACACTATCTTCGCCGACAGCACACGTTCCATCAGCCCTTTTTGTTACAGTCCAATCTTCTCCAACTTTCAACTCAAATTGTTTTATTTCCTCTTGAAAATTCGTCACATCTTTTTCAACTTTACCAACATTTCCCGCCTCAGTTTCTTCATCCAGAACCAACTTTTCTGAATCATATTCTTCGGGAATATTTTCATTGACCTTGTTTTCTGTAGAGGTAGCATCACCATAGCAACAAGGCAGAGAATGTTGTATTTCAGCATCATTATTTTTACTGTCACAAGCAACCAATTCATCGTTCCATTTGTCTGGCACAACTGGTACAATTTCGACCACCGACATCTCAATTCCGGAGGCACACTCAGAAGTTCCGTCTTCACACTCAAGCTCACAATTCTCTTCTAATTTTACCAAAACATTTCGTTTATCTTGCTCGTCTTGTGAATCAAGTTCCTGCGAAGAAAATAAAACTTTTTCCGCTAAGCAAGTCTCTTGAGATGCTACATTTTCCTCACTGCTGTAATAGCATTCCTTTTCTACCATTTGTACGTTCTTTTCACATTCTACGATCTCTATTCCTTGACGTTTCTCCTCTTTATTATACCTGAACGAGCTATTTTGAGATTCTTGTGAGTCTCCAATATCATGCTGTTCGTTTGTTGAACGTCTTTCCTCCAACGTGTCATTTATTTTTAGCTTCTTCAAACCTACTTCAATGTCAATGTCAGTGTCTTGCTCTCTTTGTCTCTTCGTGGAACTACATACATTAGAGTCTATTTTCTTTCCTACAACTTCTTCGTCTTTCTGATAGCAGTTATTTTCATCCATCGTTTGAATTTCGTGACTTTGTGCTTTCGAATCATTTCCTGCGTCGGCCTTCAAGCCACAGGTATTTTTAGCGTCTTCTCCACACGACAAAACAGCATTATTAGACTTTACTTTCTCGTTTTCTTTCATACTTTCTTCTTCCTTCCTTCCTTTTTTTCGTTTTTCGTCTCCAACATTATCAACCTTGCTGGTAATATTCGTTATTTCTTGTTCACTCGCGTACATGTTTCTACAAGTTGAAGACTCACAGAGAATTTGATCTTTGCAAGAGTTTATAATAACATCAGTGTTCYCGAATGGTCCTGGCGGGATTCCCGCTGTCTCGGGACAAACTTGTTTGTCTCTGCACTGTGGCGAAATCTCGACCAGTGTTCCTATCACCGGAACAGACGAGAGATCTCTTTTAACATCTATCTCATCTTCTCTTTTCCCATTTTCCATTTCATTTACTTGCGAATTCCATCCACTTTCATTTTCCTCCAACAAAATGTCCTTCTCTAACACAAAGTTTGTTTTGATTTTTTTGCTTCGTACATCACCACCGTCTCCACTATCTTCAACACGGTTTTCAGTTAGTAGATCGATAGAGTGTCCCATATTTGGACCATTTTCTTCTTTTTCACTCACTGGCGTACCTATTGCTAGAGGCAATCCATGGGCAGCGACTAACACATCATTATCATCATCATCATCGAAAGAAATCAAATTTTTCTCCTCCAGTTTAAAAGAATCTGTAACTACCTCAACATGTTCTTTCATTTCCGATCTGTCGTCCCATTCAATGTCATTATTCTCTACGACTTTCGTTGTCTCGATATCCATCGTTTTCTGTCTCGCGGTATAAATGCTGTTTTCGTAACGTTCAACTTTTCGTGCCATTCTGTCTCCCGATTTATCATCATCTACTCCAGCTGCTAATATCTTCAGATCACTCACGAGGTCACTCCTCGTCCTGTCATCGCCTTCATTACTAATGACGACTGGTAACTTAAATCCTTCTTCAGCTTGAAGGTCAACACCAAATTCATGATCAATGTCATTTCTACTCACTATCCCACTCAAACTGCCAGTGAGCAGATCGGCATTCTCCATAACATGTTCTTGGAATTTTATGTTGGTTTTCTCAATGTCACAGTTAGGGGTGTGTGGTAATTCGCAAATAGAACCCCCCTCTTGGATTCCACAAGGGGTGACGTCATCTGCATTTTTAATTTCGAAAAAGTCACCCGAAATGGACGAAATTTCATCATCCTGACCTTGGGGATCAAGAGTGGTGTTTTTTGTTTCCTCAAAACATTCTGGTTTATTTGACAACTGCGTGGTCTGATTAACGAGGTCTTTGAGATTTGCACTTTCGTGTTTAGAGAGATTTTCCGGGATCAGCTCAGCGTCACCAAGGGTTTTTGAAGTTGATTTTTGAGATTGTTCTTCATCATCATGCACGAGTTCAGGTCGTTTTGTTGAATCTATCAACATTGGACTATCTGGGACAGAGTTCTTCTTAATAGTAGGCAAGGATTCTGAATAATCCAGGCCAAATTCCTGCACATCAACAGACATGTTATAAGGCATGTCAAGAACATATCCCTGGCTGGTCATACTTCTTATCTCCATTTCACTTTTCGTGCTACAACGCTGACCCTCATCACCAGCACGTAGTACAGTGTTGAATTCTCTCTCGCTTTCTTCAGTACTTTCTTCACTAAGAGACACAAATGCAGCCTCTTCTATGTTGGATTGTAATTCTTCCAAAATACTTGAAAAAATGTCTTTGTTCTTTGCTTGAGTATTAGAGTCGTCTTTCACAACATCAGACAATTCTTTCTGGAATTGTTCCATGTTGATCTCAAATTCTAAATCTTCTTGCTTCAAGTTCTGTTTTCCCTGGAGAGTTGTTTCCCCAGGCGAAGTCTTGTCGCGTGGTTCAAGTGTTTTTTCGTTACACTCTCGTCTTCTCCATTCATCTTCTGTTTCGATGACAATCAATGGAATTCCATGGTATTCCGATCCACCTAAATCTCTTCCACATGATTTTGACAAATCGCAAAAGTTTGCATGTTCTTGTCCATAATTTGGCACATTTTTTGCTTCCTCTTTTCCATCTTGCAATAATTCTTCATTACCTTCTTGCTGGTGTTCGTATTCAAGCGATTTCATCAAGTCAGACACCAACTTATTCTCTAGTTCCATTTGTACGTTCGTGTCTTCGACAATAACATCAATGTCGTCTACCTCTTCAACGTTATAATCCATCCCTGCGTTTCCTCGTTTTCGAACTTTCTAAGCTCCTATGTTTTGTTTTTCACACCGTTTGCGGTTGGAGAGAGAAAACCCGAGTTCTCAGCACGTTACGCCGGAATCAATCCAAGCTTACGATTCAGCATCACTACTGGCTATAATCAACAAGAGGGATGGAACTCTCATGATTGGTCGTGAGATACGATCAAATTCGCCCATCATCTGGCAATTATATCCCGGTTAATGAGCTTAGAATGAAATCCTAACAGGTAGTAGACACAATGCCAGACGTACTATGACAAGGTCGTTTTATCAACCCACTTCAGAAGATGGCTGAATCAACTGCTTGAGGGAAAAAACAATGTTTTTGTCTTATCGAAGAAATTCGAGTTCTTTTTAAACCGCAAATCCTTCGTCGCCTGGGTTTGGCGTTGGTGGATGGTGGAACTATTGACATAATGCGAGGAAGGGGTAGTGAAGTAATGTGCACACCCCTTCCCCAGGGGCCAATTATGCACCCTCAAGAGCTATTATTCTTGGGCTGTCAAATAGTCCCCTTCACAGTTCCCGGGGCCATTTTGAAAGGTAGCCGTGCCTTTGCATCAAACGGAGACGAACGGTGAGCTTGCAATGATAGAGACCTTTTCTAACACCTTGGACAATTATTCGCATGTCTTTATCATTGCAAGCTCACCGTTCGTCTCGCTTCGATGCAAAGGCACGGCTACCTTTCAAGATGGCGCAGGGAACTGTGAAGGGGACTATTGGATTGTTTAATCGATCTGTAAGTGTTTATTATACATTCCCTATCCTATAAACAACCTCGGGACTTAAACATTTACTAGATCATTGTAAATCTACGCTGCCGCATTTTCCAACTTCGGGTCTACCTCTCCCCCCATAGTAGACTCTGGCATCCCTCCCTGTCCCTTTCCCCCAGGGGGTTGAATATTATCCCAGTATGAGTATCCGATACTATAGGTCCTGGAGATTATATTCTCGTGATCAGGCTTAATGTAAATATTTTTAACAAGACGTATCCTATGACACAAAACATCGACTCACGAAACAAAACAATTTTTTCTTTGCTTGTGGTCATTCTAAGACTTTTTGAAATAAAGCATTTTTGAGCGCTAATTAAAGGCGTTTTTAAGTTGGGCTTATTGCTTCCCAATTGAGCCCACGTGACATTCCCTTAAGTATTATTACTTTTCTACCAATAACACATTAGACATTCTTGTGAGTATAAAATGGCTCTCGTGCACAAACCTTAACACGACCCCTAGTTCGTTGAGTGCCGACTCACATAGCATAGATGACGGAGAGGTTCAATAAACTTAGCCTAATCTCTCTATACATATGATTATATTGACCATATAGACTTGCATGAATCTATTATCCCCCTTGTAAGACAGAGTACTATGATTGTGGTCATTCAAATTACTGGGCCGGGCATCAATCAACAACTCCACGAATCTAACGAATGACGTCAATCGATAATAATCCTCGCCCCAGGCAACTCAGTCGAGGATATTATGAGGTCTTTTTTTTTTTTTCCTATTTGATGAATGGAAAGCAGACTAGTTATCAAGTTTAGGAAGTTTGGCAATGATCTATTCACTCATTACGCGAACATTGAAAGCCCTCCAGACCTAGAACACAATGCATGAGCAGACAGATCTGAAACACTGACACGGAGACAGAGGGAGGCCCGGATAGATGGATGAATGGATGGATGGATGGATGGATGGATGGGATGGGATGGGATGGGATGGGATGGGATGGGATGGATGGATGGATGGATGGATGGATGGATGGGTGGGTGGATGGATGGATGAATGGGAATGGAATGGGAGAAAACTAAAAAAGTCTCATTTATTAGATTTCATTCACAGATGGAAATTTAGCTCGTCTTGCATACAGAGGGAGGAGGAAAACCAGAGAACCCAGAGAAATATCCTCAAATCAATGTCCATGGATAGCCCTAACAAACCCTACTCACATACAACGCCGAGTGCAAGGGTGCTTACCATTTACCCGGAAAAAACGGAAATTCAGGTTGGAAAACAAACGGTATGTATCATTCCGATCGGAAAGTTCCGGAAAACTCGATCTTCCGATTGAGGTAATCCACTTTTCCCGCTCTTTTCGGTTCTTTCGGTAGACGCGTGTACCATTTTTCGAAAGTCAAAGTTTCCCGCTCTTTTCTTTTATCATTAGCAAATGAATTTCCAACCGGTTGGTTTGGTTTGGTTTAAATGGTAAGCACCCTGGGAATCGGAACTTTAATTCATATTTTAGTCTAGTTGTCTACCTGGTAGATGGATGTTAATGTAGTCTCGGTTTGATCCGTTGTAGACGCCATCTTTCATGGACATGTATTCCGCTGACCCACTTGAACCAGCTGAGCTCTCTGCACCTGAAACAATCATCATCATCAATGAAACAAAGACCTTTTCTTTCTTTATATACTTCTATTGACCAAAACATATGTTAATGTAATTATATAATTTGCCAACTGTCTCGTTTAGCCTATGGCTATTACAGTATTTTTGTCGTTTAGCAAATGTAATTTTACTGAATTTTGGTACTAAAAATAAAGATTGATTGAATGATTGATTGACCTCTTTATCTTGGGTGTAATGATTTTCCATTTCAGACGTGTCATTCTCTTGAGTACCATTTCTTTGTTTGACTTTTATCCATATCCATGTATATTCTCATGCGCAACCGTTAAACAAAGAAATGATACTCAAGGGTATGACACGTGGTCTGAAATGGGACTGGAAACAGTGGTTGGGTCTAGTGTATGCAAGAAAATGTTGTAAGATCAAAGACTTTTCGAAAACCCCACAAATCAAGTGAGAGACAGGCAAACTCTACTCCAATGTGAAGGCGAGTCCAGGAATTGAACCCTAGACCCCAGAGGTGAGAGGTGAGTGCACTTCCACTACATCACTCTTTGTCCTTGCATCCTATATATCTCTCTGACATTTTAAGTAGCTTTACTTTACTCAATAGAGATTTTGCACCATCATGTGACGGCAGCCATGTTAGATGGCAAGAACGATACATCGTCTCACATGAGAAAGAATTCAATTCCCAAGAGCAAAGTGATTCTATTGTTCTGCCATCTCACCACAGGTAGCCCAAGCTGTATTGTGGATATGGGAACGTGATGGTGCAAAACCTCTATCCTATTTCTAAGCTACCATACCTCCTGGATTAATAACAATATTTTCGTACGAATCTGTTGTGGACAAAGAACTCTTTCCCGCTTGCAGGAGTACATATCCTGGAGTAGTTTGAAATTCTTTTGCCCCTTTCTTCTCAGTAACACGAGCTCCAGCCATATCTTCGTAATATTTACTTTCATTTTCTACGCTGTCCATTTCCTCGCAGTTCTGCTCCGCCCAATTCTTTTCTGTCCTTTCCCTAGATTCAAATCCCTGAGGGACATTTTCGTAGCGGTGCTTTTTATTAGGTGCCATATCACGAGGGTCAGGAGAGACCCCCTTATTAAGGACCACATAATCTGGGTCCATTTCTTGATCGATGTCTTTGATAAACATAGTCATGACTGCAGCGTCTTTCGGTCTGTGTTTGTTTAGCTCAACGTTTTCGTAAGCCAGAATCTGTCTCCGATCTGTGGAAGGAGACCCTTGTTCCTCAAACTTGAGTTTCCTGGGCGATAATTGAACAACTTTTTGAACCTTTCTTTCAGGAAGAGCTTCTTTGTCCGGTGAATCTAAGCTCATGTCTTCATAATTTTTCCTTGGTTTTTCAGGTGTTCTCGGTCTGTTTGAATCTAGATTCTGAATCGCCTGTTCTAATTCGCTGGACGCGTTATGAGTTAACAACAAGTCTCCTTCATTCTCGGATTCATCCTCTTTTATTTCACTTTCCATCCCATTTTCATCCTCATTCTCATTCTCATTTTTCATTTCATTTTCTTCTGGTTCGTTTAAATCTGGGTCTGTCGTCATTTCAGTGTCTGTTGTTGTAGTTGTATCTTTGACCACCGAGTTAGCTTTGCTTGGCAGCTCAGGATGATCTGACGAATTCTTCACCCAAATACTTTCCTCCCTTTCCTTTTCCATTCCTTGTTCATTTTCGTTTTCTTGCTTGTAGACTTTTCGTGGTAATGACGGCGGTTTCTCGTCCTCATTTGCTCCATTGACTGGCGAATGTAGCACCACCTCGGCGTACTGCGTTCGAGATCCGTTGGAAGAACCAGGAGACGTCGGTGGAGACGAGGTGTTTTCCATCGATACTTCAACATACTTAAGGAATTCTTTGTTTTTGTTGAATAGTTTACTTTCTTCGAGTCCGTTTGCTAATGGATTGGGACGGTTTTCCTTCAGTGCTGGTTGTTGGAGGTCTGGTGGTTGGCGAGATTCTTTTTCGGGGGATACGGGAGGTGATGGTGTCGATCTACCGTTTTGATGAAAGCTGCTAAGACGTGGACGACCACGAACTGGTGAGGACTGACCTGAGCCTGTAAGATAATGTATTAGTAATAATATTTAATTTATTGCTTATTATTTATTTCATGATAAATAACATCATTATTACATTATCATTGTTAACTTTACTCCACAGCATTGCTTCGACCAACACCATCATCACCGCGACTACCACATCTATCATCATCATGTATCATCATTATCACCATCATCACCGCGACTACCACATCTATCATCATCA